AGCAGTTCTGGATGTCGGTTATATCGACACATCATATGATGCCTTACAAGCAAACTGTGGTCGGATCTCGTCCCCCATCCCCGACACGGATCTATGAGAGCAGATTTGACGCAATCCACCGTTAGATCCACATTGGAGAGGCGGAGCGGTCATCCTACCGCTGTTCGGTGTAGTCATCAAGTGGGAGTCGACATCGCAAAAACCCGACGATGTTCCAATTGGGACGTGCTCTTGTTTCGTGATGTGCAGGCGCTTACCGGCGGTGCGTTCGATCCACTCCTCGACGTGAAGCAAAGTGCGAGGGAATTGCTCAGGGCTCACACCAGAAGTGCGATTGAACTCGCACTTTGATGGAGAAGCAGTTGCGCAGTCCATCAGTGCGACGATTTAATATGGACATTGGCTTGTCATTTGTATATTACAGGTTGAAAACGCCATCAAATCTTTCTGTGTAGAAGATTCATATCCATTCATACAAGTATCTCTTGTCATTGCAAACATCGAGATGAAAACATCTCAAGTCAAATTGCAAAGCACACAGAGACATCGTAAACATCAAGGTGAAAACATCTCAAGTTGCCTAGTGTTTTTCCAAAGGTGAAGTCTCACAGCAGACGAACAGTTTCCAGAAACCATTCAGTACAGAAAATTCATTCAAGGGCAAATTGCAAAGCACACAGAGACGTTTCAAAAAATCATTGAACACAAAATATCATACAATCTTACTTTTCAAAGTGCACGGAGACTTTCCAAAAATCACAAAGTACATGGAGCCAAAGTGCGAATATGTTCTCATTTATAATATGGAACCAATAGTTCAATCACAAATGGATGGCATCCAAAGTGCGAATATGTTCGCATTTCTCATACGGAAACAACAACCAGCATTCCGTGGAGAGCACGAGATGTATTCCGGGGATAACAAAATTGGTAATCATTTAGTGCGCCGCTGAATCCGTAAAACAACTTCAAACACACATACATTCTGGCGACAATTGGTTTCCGAATGGAGAACAAGTTCGCAACTGTCATAAGGAACCAACAGACAACATTCAATGGAGACAAGCAGAGGGGGTAAACCGTAAAACGGGGCGGCACACGCAGAATAAGCGCGAGCCAAAACATATGAAAGTTGGGTGTCATTTCTCATATGGAACCAACGGTTCAATCACAAATGTGCGACATCCAAAGTGCGAATATATTCGCATTTCTCATACGGAAACAACAACTAGTATTCCGTGGAGAGCACGGGATGTATTCCGGGGATAACAAAATTGGTAATCATTTAGTGCACCGCTAAATCCGTAAAACAACTTCAAACAAACATACATTCTGGCGACAATTTGTTTCCGAATGGAGAACAAGTTTGCAACTGTCATAAGGAACCAACAAACAACATTTAATAGAGACAAGCAGAGGGGGTGAACCGTAAAACGGGACGGCATACGCAGAACAAGGGCGAGCCAAATCATATGAAAGTTAGGTGGTCGGAGTGGGGCGGGGAAGAGGGGCTTTCACACCACAAAGTCTCGCGAACGAAAGAGATAAGCACAAAACAATTTGGCGACCAAGAATAAGTCGTCGATATCTTTCACATCAGTAATAGAGGAGCACAACCTCGAAACGAACAAACGCAGCACGGTGCTGCCGCGGTCTAAGAGGACATAAGGAGAACAACCCGAAAATAAACAAAAGGAGCACAAAGTTGGGATATTCACATCCGATAAGTCAGCGTCTACTTAAAAGGAACTGCACCACGTGGCTGGGATATTTACATCGGCATCTAAGCTTCTACTTCACGTAAGCGTCCGCTGCTACCCTCTAGCTGATGTTGCGCGGCAAGCAATGAGAACAACCCGAAAACAAACAAAGGCAGCACGGCGCTGCCGAAAGTCCTACGAGTAAAGATGACAGGTTTCACGAAATAAAGAACCCTTAAAAAATTGCTACAGCACGAGGCTGGGATATTCACATCGACACCTAAGCGTGTACTTGACCAAAACGTTCACTGCAATCCGGTACCTCATCAAAACAACAACACAACTCAAACCGGCTGACTGCTAGATCAAGTGGGAATAGATTTGCACTTCTGCTTATGGCCTTCGGAAAAAAAAACTAAGCGTATTTTAACAACAGGGGTATTATTCAGAGCCTTGGAGTATGTCCACCGCAATCCTCAACCTGATGTTTGCAATGTCGCTTTGGGCTATCGGAAATGGTGGCGGATAGCCGCACGCAAGAAAAGAAGCGAAGGCGAGCATTAAAACACCACAACTCGACCCGTCCGACTATTGAGGGATACCATGAGCAACCACCTTGGGCGCCGGAAGATCCAGTTTGGCTTGTTGACCATATCGACAAACCGCTTCGTCACGGAGGTATTCGTGAAGTTCGCAAGGACATCGGAAGAAAAACCGCCATCGTCTTGCAGGAGGGAGTCGTAGTACTCCAACCCTTGTTCTCGGATACATAATAGGGTCCAATGCACTCGATTTTTATGGACAGGAATCAAGACCATGCCGTACGAGAAAATATCCACATCTTTTGTCCATTTCACAACCCTTTCAAGTCGATAACCACCACCAACGAGCTTGGTATAGAAAAAGGGACTGAAAATGTAAAGAGAGGAACCCCGAGGGCACGCAGCGTTGGCAAGCAAGGCCAAGTACGACTCCACCACCTCGTCGGAAAACCATCCCCCCTGGACAAGAGTTTGAAGACTTTTTATGGTCAACGGAATCGAACTGGGACCTCTGCGAACCGAGGAAACCACCTCGTGGCCGTTGCTGAAATCTCCTCAGACGTCCTGCAACATTCTGAAGTCCGTAGCGCTAAGCTCCTCAGTAGGCAAGGGAACGCGAAAACATGATGTAGCCCAGCTGCACAAACACCCACGAACAAGTGTGAGGAGTGAGCACAAACCCCGGGGCGGAATGACTAAGAACTGCCTGTCCTTTTCCCAGAAAAGTTGTATCCCCAACTGTTGAATGTATCCTTCGCGATGTACTTAGGACACGGGTCTTTCAAGACACCTCGTTTGCCATCGTTATCAGACCCATCAGACAAAGCAGTAACTCAATAGATGCAGCCAAATGTTTCTGTAGACCTTCCTCCTTATCTATTCCACAAGCCTTCAGAACCCTGACAACTCTCTGGGAAAGGCGAGGCATCTGGACCCTTTTAAACAACCCTACACTTGACAACTTTTTTGTTAAAGCGGCCAATGACCTCCCTGAAAGACGTTTCTCGTGCACGGCTTTTAAAGGCTTCATGGGCAGGGACATTAACAACTTCACACGTGTAGAACATAGATAACAACCCACAACCCACAAGTTTTTTTTTAACAAGTGGTAATAGTTACATTAGCCCATGACATCAATTTGGACGAACACAGAGCTGGCTAGTGACAGATATGCGAATGCTCCTATTCACAAATCTTACCATGCTCGAGAGCCCTTTGAGGGAACTCGCCATCCTGTCGCGCCACTGCGCCAACGTCCACGGACAATTCGAGGTTCTGGACCTCGGCCACCACTGTGTCGCTAACCAGCTCGGTGGCAGCTGAGTCGCTTGGCAAGTCGATGGCTTCATGAAGCACCATTTCCCGACCAGTACTGAGGACAGATGCTCGATCACCCTGTTCGGCACCGCAACGGGTGGACAAAGAATCATGATCTTTCCGCTTTGGATCCATCTTAATGCTCACGGCCACCTTACCGCCTTCCACGGAGGATTCGACGTTCTGCATCTCAGCCACGCCTGACTCGCTAACCAGCTCGGTGGGTGCCGAGTCGTCACCCAACTCTATGGCTTCATGAAGCACCATTCCCCGAGCGGTGCTTAGGACAGACGGTCGGCCACCCTGTTCTTCACCGCAATGGGTGGGCGAACAATCACCATCTTTCAGCCGTGGATCCGTCCGGATGTCGACAGCCACCTCACCGCCTTCCACCGCGGGTTCTTCTTCGTCTTCATCGTCGCCAAGAACGGGAGCTTGCACGGACGTCCACTGACCTCCCTTAACAACACCCTCTCGCATCGTGGCCACAACCGAACGACTGTGCAGAACCTCTCCGGACGTCCCGATCACCAGCGCTCGTGCGTGGAGCCACTTCATGTCTTCACGAGCCGGCCCGTGTCGAGTCTCCTCTTCCCGCTGTAGAGCATGCGTTTCCCCCGGAGCTCCTGCACTCTCGCTGTCAGTGTCCACGGACGCACCCTCCGAAGCATGACGTTCACACTCGCCACCCTCGGTCTCCAACACTTTGCGAGACTGCAAGTGTTGAGTCTCCTCTTCCCCATGTACAGCACGCGTTCCCGGAGAGTGCTCCTCTTCCCCAGGAGTGTGACATTCGTGCTCGCTACCCCCGGTCTCCAACACTCCTGCAGCGGGCCCCTCCAGCACGTCGCGAGGCCGCCAGTCTCGAGTCTCAACACATGAGAACGGAGGCGAGCAGGGCAACCCTGTGTCCAACTGAAGATGCGGGGGGCAGGACGTGACATTTTCTTGGCCCCGCGGAACTGTTGCGTGAGGAGCACTTATGGCGGAGGGCGACGTCAGCAAATCCGAATGTATTCGGAGTTTGTGGCGGTCGCCTAAGCCGAGGGAACCGAAGGTCGCACCTTCGCTCCTTCGCAATGCAGGCATCCCGCCCTCTAGGCAAAATGAAGACGCGCCCTCTTTAAGGAGCAAGGTGTTGAGCACAGGAGACCTCTGCTGCGCACGGCGGGATGGACTCTCCTCGGCAACGGGAAACAAAGTCCTCGCAGACAAGTGCGAATCTACTCGTACTTGATCAGACCTCAGGGTGGCCTTGTCTCGCATGTCGGAATCTCGACTTCCTACGCAGTGAGGGTCAGTTTCCGTATACTGGGGACTCCCGGACGTTCTACGCTTTCCGCCCGACCCCTTCCCGCCTGACCCCTTCCCGCCCAAGTCCTTTCCGCCTGACCCCTTTCTGTCGGACGCCTTCTCTACCGACGATGTCTCGCCCGTCCCCTTTCAGACAAACTATGAGCCGTCTCCTCCGCCACCTCCGCTGTCTCCTTAGTCTCCTCCTCCACCCCCTCCCGGATGCTGACCGCCCGACGGAGGTTGCGGCATGCGCCAGTCAATGCCACGAGACGGTGTCGTTTCGAGTGTGTAGAAAGGCGCTCGAAACTGCAACATGCTGTTGGCGTACAACTCATTTAGCTTTTGTTCTGCATACGCACCGACGTCCGGATCGTTCCTCTCGGGGTTCATGAGACTCAAATGCTCCACCAGAGCACTTCTCGCTATTCTCTTAAATGCACCCGCTCCCAGTCTCTTCAGTCCACTCCACTTGCCATCGGCCTCCTTCATTGCCATGACCCACATTCCATTCCTCACAGCAGGTTGGAATATCCTCGGGTGCCAGACGACGTTGTGTCCCCAGACATCCTCCGGTGTGAACCGGTGATGCTTGCAGAAGAAGTAGAGTCCGTCATTCTGCCAGGTGTCGTGGTCCTCAGGGAGCCTGTCACAAGGTTCGTGATCATAGTCTTTGTCTTCCTCCCCGTCATCAGACGATTGGTCGTCGACTAGTTCGCCCCGAAACACACGCTTCAAACCAGCAGGGTACGTGCTATATCTTCGAGGGGCACCTTCCTCTTCATCACCAACCTGTCCAACCACCCGAGGAAGTGGCATGGACTGGAAATCGAAGGTTTCCGAGTCGCTCAACTCCTCCATATCTTCAGCGTCGAAAGGGTCCTCCTCGTCAAACTGTGACTTGTAGTTTTCCAGGGTGAGCGGTTTGGCCAGCGTGAAGTAAACGTGCTCCAGCCTTCTCAGGAAATGCGAGACAAACTCCTTGGGTGCATCGTGGTACCCATTGAGCACACCGAACACCAGGTTTCTCCGTCGACTGTATTCGAGGTCGGTCGGACCAGGCGGTCCGGGTTGGAAAAGGAAGTCCCAAACTTCCGTCCTTTTGTTCCCCAACATTTTTCAATACATGTCACGTTTGGGATCCCAGTTTCGTTCGCCGGTGGTGTGGACAAACTCGCAAACATTGTGAGTGTCTGCAACGCGAGTCTTCACGAACTCGTGAAGGTAATTGATCATCTTCGCCTCCTTCTCCAACGCAACGACGTTCTGACCGGTGCGGAGGAGTTCCCACACGACAGACGCATGCGCCTTCCCAAAGAAAAAAACAGTTTGCCCAGCTTTGCAAAAGTTTTCGAGTAGACCAAGTAGACGGGACGGGTTCCACTCCATCTCCCCGTAAGCAGGTCCTTGAGAACTTGTCACGCCGTCGTCCTCCCACATGCTACGAGAGAACGTTTCCTCTTCCGCCACGTCGAAACACGCCACAGCCTGTCCTGATGGGTCCGACGAACACACAACTTTCGAGCGGGTCGCCACCGTGTGTTTGGCCGGACTTGGACCATGAGCACGGGAAACCTTTGTCGGGCTACTGGCCGGGTAGACTGCGAATGTGTTGTCTTCCAGCTTTTCGCCATTAAAAATCACGTACAGGCGGTCACACTCCTCAACCAGCATATTGCCTTCCCGGACACTGATCTACTTTTGTGCATTGCGCACCCACTTCCCTGTCCTGACGTGATGGACGCTAAGCCTGACCATGCCTTTCAAGAAGCTGAGCTCCCAACGAGAGGGGAAAAAAACCACAAGTGCCCAGTGCGTTGGCAAAAGCGTTTGGAGAACGCCTTGCAAGTTCGCGAAATCATCTTCTCGCCAGTCTGTGAGGAGTGTGGGATCACACAAATCGAGGACGTACAGGTTGCACACGTAATGTCGCACAACCTCACGGATCACAGTGACACGACTGTGAGCTTGGGAAGGCGGGAAAGCGAAAATAATAAGGCTGGTCACCCGGTTGAGGTCGGGCCATTTGATGTGCCTCACATCCCCGCTGACCCTGATCGTGTCTCGAACTTCTTCTTCCGTCCGTCGCAAGATGGAACAGATAGACTTTTCGAAAGATTTAGGGAACCTGTCATCATCATACAATCTCTTCGCGTCGTCGATGGACTCCTTCTCGTGCGGAAGAGTATGTTTGCAAGTGTTCACGTACTCCACCGGTCCCTAGAAATGCTTTCGCATTTCGACCCACACCTGTTTCGTGAGGCCCTGCAGCCCAAACTCCTCCAGAAGCTTCCCCTCGGTTCGAAAAAAAGGTCTCCCGTGGCGCCAAACACGTTCGTCCTTCTCTGTTTCAAGGAACAAGATATAGTAGAACATACGGAGCATCACACGGTCCACTTTCCTCGTCGCGACCATGTCTTTAATTCCAGGTTTATGCTGACGCTTCAGATGGCAGCCCGGATTGCACGAACAATCCCCTTAGCGCGAGAATGTCGTCAAGGATCGACAGTTTCTCGACATCGGTCATGTCGGCGAGACACTGCCAACAGAACATGTCTGGCTCCTTCACGACCATGAAAAACTTGTCGTCCACTTGCGTTTTCTTTTTGGTCGGAGGCGACGGGACCCAGACCAGCCACCCATATTCGTTTCACCAGCCGCCCATTTCGAGCCCATTTCCGGAATTGCTTGCAGACCCGGAGATTTGTCTGGCATGTGTTTGCCCGACCTCGACAATGGCGTCTTGCCGTTGCCGCCCAACAACTTCCCCTCCGCCAATTTCGCATAAAACTCCATGGCTTTGCGGAAAACGTCATCACCGGCCGTCACGAGCGGCATCCACTGCCTCAATGCATTGCCAACGGCAGCGACATACTCCTTGTCGGGGAGCGACAAATCTTTTTCTGCCAACTCCCAGTGAGATTCGTTCGGACTGTTTTCTAAAATCAGCTTTTGGAATTCGAAAAACTTTCGTTTTTCGGCCTCCTTGCCGGAAGGGTTCCCTTGAATGGCCATCGGCCTTCCTTCTTTCTCCCATGCCCCCCGCATGTCCAAAAACGCGGCCTTCTGCGATCGCTGCTTAGGCATCTTGTGTCTCGTGTTCTCGTTGAGACTGACCTGCCTATAGCCCGCAAAATCTCGTTCGGAGAACCACACTACTCTCGCCGACCACGAGTGCATCTTCCACAAATCGAATATTGGCTCACCCTCCAACTCCTTCACAGCAGCCACGGTGTGTTGACCGTTAACAGGGTAATAGTAGTACTTGTCCTTGTCCTCTGGCTTGAAGACATCTTTGTGAACCTTGTCAGCTTTCTCCGGCCTACGCGTCACCGGCTTGTAGATGGGTGTCAGAACCAAAGGGTTTTTCGTCCAGATCTTCCCCCTATTCTCGCGGAATTGACTCAGCATCGCAACCTTGATGTCGTCCACAGTTTCGCGATTTAGAGTGCGGTGGTTGTAATATCTTTTCCAAGACGGGATGTCGCAGACCTTCTTGGGGTCGATGAGCAGTTGGACGGGGAGCTCCTTCTCCACGATTTCACCGCCATTGTTCCGCTCGTATTCGAGCCAGAACGCTGCTGCTTCGCCGCACTCCTCACCGGCAGGCCGTTCGCCCCCGCTCGCCGCCTCAGCAGTCTTCCGCCTTCGAGATTTCTTATGGCCATCACCTTATTCAGCTGCCACTTTCCGTTTCGATTTCCCCAAAGGTTTTCTTGCGGCCGCAGCGCCTGGATCAGCCGAATCTCCTCCACCCACGGCTTGTTCCTTGCGGATGGTCAAACCGCCGGGCCTCCTCGCTTTCTTACTTGCCGTCCCACCCTCTTCCTTCGACGGCCTCTTTCCCGAGCCACCTTCTCCGACGTCACCTCCATCCCCGCCCATCATCGCCTCCGATTTTCCTCTCATCCTCTTCATGCGGAGGGTTTCTTCCGCCACCTCCTCTCGCACCATCCTCTGTCGCTCGCGCTTCTTCTCCGAAGGAGTCTGCTCCCCACCAGAGCTTTCGCGGACAGCGCCCATCCCTTCAGCCTCATTCCCTCCGACATCTTGCCCCGATCTGCCGGATTCTCTTCTCGTCTCATCTTGAAGCGGATACGTGTCGCCGCCACAGCGGACCTTGATGAGTTTTGGAGTACCGACCCGTTGAGTCCTTGTACCCTGAGAATGCAAGTCCGATGTGTTCCCAGGAGCATCTGGGCCGACCTGCATGTGAACGCTGCGCGCGCGCCCCTTGACCCGACCCCCAGCGTCTTGAATCGGACTTCCGCGCCCCACTGCCGCACCTGGAGTTTCTTGAGCCAAGCCGGACGACCCCTCATGGGGTGGCAGAAGCCGAAAAACATGTTCTCGCGAAAGAACCGAGCGTTCTTTCGGCACCATTAGCGCGAGATCGAGATATTGCTCTGGCGATGGAAGACGCTTGCTGCCGCCATCGCAAAGGCCTTTGAAGTGAGAGCACAATGTCATGTTTGAGCTGTATCCCGCGAAACTCTTGATGGTCACCAACATACCTTTAACACCTCTGAGAGGCAGTCTGCACTCGTCGTACAAGCCGTTAGTGTGCAGCTTGAGCAAACCTCCAAGAGTCTTGGCGCACGAGACGATGGTACCGAGAGGAAAAACGTTGACCGCTCCCCCAGCGTCTGGAACGCAAGTGGGTCGCATGAAAACAGCTGGCCCAAAAAGGTCCCCCTGAACAACGAAGTCCAAAAACCATTGTGCTCCCATTGCGTGCGTATACTGAGGAGTAGATTGTTGTAGAGGTCGTCCCTCCCCGGGGGCAGATGGTCCAGCGATTGTGGATGTGTTATTTGCGGACGCCATTGTACTGCCACCCGTTGACTAGCACGCCCAACCTCAGACCAACTCGGATGACTAATACGCCCAACCCCAGACCACTACAGAAGCTAAGTGCGAACTAACTCGGACTTAACGAAATGGAGGACGAAAAGGACGTAAGAGATGGGTGTCCGAAATGCACACGAAGTCACAACAATCGGGTGAAGGATAGGAAAGAGAGCGGTCCTATGGCAGAGTGCGAACGAGCTCGCTGTCGTAGAATTGAGGAAGAGGTGATTTATCTTCAGGAAAGTACGAACTAACTCGGAGTTTCGAGAATGAACTCGTCTACAACAAGTACTGCATGGGTATCGACAAGGGGGAACCGACGTGCAGTTCCGGGCTCAAGGAAACCAAAGAATGAGATTGGTGTTTGAAATGCAAACGAATACAAAACAATTGGGTGGCTGGCAGAGTGAGGAGGGAAGACGACAACTCTTCGGAAAGATTGCGACCCGACTAGATGCCCTCGAAACGAGTAAGATGTGGTTTATCGACAATTGCGAAGGGTGTCGACAAGTGCGAACTAACTCGCAGTTCTGTAGACAAGACAACAATGGCCACCCGCAGCACTAGGGGAAAGTGCGAACTAACTCGGAATTGTGGAACTGAAGACCTGAAAGACGCACGAAACGAGTAAGATGTGGTTTATCGACAAGTGCGAAGGGTGTCGACAAGTGCGAACTAACTCGCAATTCTGTAGACAAGACAACAATGGCAACCCGCAACACTAGGGGAAAGTACGAACTAACTCGGAATTGTGGAACTGAAGACCTGAAAGCCACACGGGATGGGTTATCAACTCCTCCAGCAGTGTTGCTCAAAAAGTGCGAACTAACTCGCATTTGTGGAAATAAAGAACTGCCTTTAATGAAATATGTGTCTAACCTTGGGAAAACTGCGAATTACCTCGCAGTTGTCACTCCTCGAACACTGTACGTCGCAAACTGGGAACTGACTCGCAGTACATCTCTCTCTCTATATATGTATCTATATATATATATATATATATATATATACATATATATATATATATATTAGGTCGGCGACCTCACAAGGGACAGGTGAGCGAAAATCGGGAATTGATTCGGTGTTCAATGTAGCAATATCTCTCTCTCTATATATATATATGTATCTATATACATATATATATGTAGATATCAGGTCGGCGACCTCACAAGGGACAAGTGAGCGAAAATCAGGAATTTATTCGGTGTTCAGTGTAGAAACTAGGTATTGATTCAGGGTTCGCCATGCGCAGCGACGACTACAAGTTGCGAAGGGGATCGACCAGCTTTATACGAACGTTATCATGGCTATGGCGAAAGGTAATCGAGTTGCGGAACGCGGATCGGCTATGGCGGACGAAGGTGGAGGGTGGAGAAAAGACATCAGAACACGTCCACTGGCGAAACAACAAAACCGGGAATTGATTCGGGGTTCAACAGAACGCGGTTGCGGCGTTATATCCTGCAGGTACAGACAGGGCATCTGGGAATGTATTCGGACGTCGGACACAAAATAGGACAACTCAAGTTATATAATTTTACCTTCGTCGTGCGTTGAGCGAGCAACCAACGTCGGACGGATATGGGTGTGCGACCACCGAACCAGCTATGGTGGAGGGATATCGAGCTAGGAAGAGCGAAGAGCGAAGAGCGAACCGAACACAATGTGGCAACTACGGACGGAGCGAAGAGCGAAGAGTGAGCGGGCTATGGCGGAAGGTGGTGGGGGTTGAAGACCAAATATCAGAAGGCGCGCGGAAGCGATAGCGCGACTTGATCTGTGGAGCGCCAACAAAAGGGATAACTCGAGGGCTGCAACGCCTTTTATACTTTGTTGCAGCAGGCCTCGCATTGGGATCAAGGTGGGGCCGAATCGATTTGCATATCGCACCCCTGGGCCCATAAAACACCATCAAGGTGGGGCCGAATCGATTCGCGTATCGCACCCCTGGGTCCATAAAACGCCAGGGCCTATAAACGGTAAGGGGTACCGGAAATTGTCAGCCGTCGATCAACGATTTTCAACCACTCAGATGAACGGAGCCACTGATATGCCAGTGGCCCCAAAATCTCCGTCAACTTCGGTGTGCAATGATGTGACAGTTCCCGAAAACAAGGGGCAGGCAATGTCATTTTCGCAGTTCTAATCTGGACTGTCGATCGGCATGATCCGACGCACGAGGTCAGGAGCAAGAATCTATAAGGTGCGGCGATTCGTTGTGCGCTGAGGCGGTTCGTTGCGCGCCGAGGCCAGGCGACGGTTTGTTTCCCGCCGAGGCGCGGCGATTCGTTGTGCGCCGAGGTCAAAAACATCGGAAATCTATAAGTTCCGGTGTCGATGTCATTCAGACATTTTGCAAATGTCAACGGCGTTGGATATCGATGCGCATAGCCATGCACCATCGCCATCGATGCGCTTAGCTCATCGCCATCGCCAACCCTCGCCATGCACCATCGCCATCGATGCGCTTAGCTCATCGTCATCGCTACGCAAAGCTATATCCCCCATCGCAGCCGTCGCGCTCGCCTGACCATCGCAACACTGATAATCGCCATCGCTCTCATCGCAACGCTGACCATCGCTGCGCCATCGCAACGCTGGTACCATAGCTGCCATCGCAACGCTGGTTCCATCGCTGCGCCATCTCTCAATCGGTGCGCCATCGCTATCGCTATCGCTGCCATCGCTATCGCTGTTCCATTGTTGCGCCATCGCTCTCCACCGGTGCGCCATCGCTATCGCTGTTCCATCGTTGGGCCATCACTCTCCATCGGTGCGCCATCGCTATAGCTGTTCC